ACACACACAAAGACATGCTCTCAAGCTGACACACACACACACACTCCCCAAAATAATGCACTCTTCCACCTCCCCTCCTTAGCAGATAAGAACCAACTACTTAAATAGAATCAGAGTAGGAGACTACAACCCGACCCAGACAAGACGACCATCATAATAACCAGCCGGCAGCACCAACACGGTCCAGATTACCCTACTACTGCCACCACGAGGACCTGGGCCCGTGAGCGTGACTGGAACCACTGGGGCCTGGCGAGACAGGGTCCTTGGGGGATGGAAAGGACTCGGGGGTGGGGAGGGAGTTAGACGTCTCTTAATTAGGCATACCTAGAACTTTATGGCAGGAGACGATAACTGGATATACAGAAGGGCCAAAATCTGACCAACTGGGATAGAATTCGCACCAAAGGGCTACACCCAGGTCAAAAGTATGACCCTAAGAAGGACGAGGTCTATATCCGTGGTCCAGGGCTGAAACACGGACTGAGATCTAGAACTGGGAGGACGAGTTCGGGGTCATAGCATCACTGAGCCTTGTGGGTAATTAATATTTGCCGTGTGGTGTGTGCGAGGCTCATTATGGCCAGGACAGTGACTCATACGACACCACCTGTACCCTGCCGTCCACGCTTGTTACTGCGTGTACCCTGTGGCATCGAATAACTACGCTAATATTTGTTACATGTACCCCCGAGTAAATATATGACTGCTTGTAATAACCTTAGACGACTTATAAGTATGTCTCCCGCAGGTAACGTCCGTATTCAGTTAACATATGTTCTGCGGCAGTTACCAGTCCCTTTTACTTCTCTAATGGGTTGGGATCATTAGAACATATTCCTAATATTTCCAACGTGACAATTTGTTATTATTAGTCAGTAGAGGTCTTATGCTCCCAGGTACAGTGTTCCTTGTTCCTGGTACGTGAATGTTACAGTTCCTCACCGCAGTTACTTACAGTGAACATAACACCTGGTCCACTACCTGACTGGGGAGGAGACAGACGGTAGCCACTCGTGAAGACAGCTGTCTGGCGGGGTTCACTCAGGTGGCTCCACTAATACCTATCATTCACCTTTGCCACATGGTGTACGACCTGAACCCTTGGTGTCTCAGATTCGTACATTAAGCTGCCCCCGTAACTGCAGTTCTAACATAAGAGGAAAAGTTTCATAATGGCGTCGGAACTACACTGAGACTGTAATGTAAAACTATAAGCGTGGTTTTATTACTTGTTGGTTTAAGAGGGTCAGGGTAAGACTCTGGGAAGGTCAGGTCTGCGTGAGGTTCATCCATTATAGGTTACAGGTCATAGGGGAACCCACACTAATAGGCCCCCAAGCTGCCCAACCAGTTACTCCTGTGGTCCTCCAAGACACTAACCCACCAAGACTCCACCAAGACAGGGACTCAATGGATAAGAAATATGAGGACCAAGTAATACCAGTCAGTCACCATCAGATTTACATTACAGAAAGATAATTATACCTTCCCAATAATATGTTACGCAGGTGAGTCACTCGCTGCCAGCCTACAGAAGTGAAAGGATATGCCTAATTTAAGCCTCCCACCATCTATGACCTGAAGGTAAATCTACCCCCTGGGTGACTGAAGCCCTCCTAGAGATCAAGCCACAGCGAACATTACCGAGTACGGTACATGAATAAAGGTTCTATTAGCGAGACTTCAGGGTTATACCAGCGAGTGAATCGGCCTGTATAAATATAAACTTCATTGTTATATAACCGCCCCCAGAGAATTTACTGCAGTAATATTCAATAATAATAAACAGAGAAGTCAATGGGAGAGAGAGATTGCTTACATGAGACGTGGACACACACACACACACAAAAGACGACGAGCAACTTTCAGATAACTTATCTGTTTGATCTTGAGATAAGCGAGAGTCCCCCCCCCCAGTCCCGTCTCTCCAATTTATACGGTCATTAGGTCTACACTACGCTACCACGCCCCCCCCCCTCCCTCTCTACCTTTCCTACCAAGCTTTCTCCCTCCTCCCCACCATTCTCTCACACCCTCATCCCATCACCATGTCTTCTCCCCGTTACACCACCATCTTCTTTCCCTCTCTCACCACACTACCCTCCCTCCTTCCTCCATCACCTCACTATCAACCTCACTAACCCTTCCACTCCCCGCCCCGCCCCACTAGCCCTCCCAGTCCCTCGCCCCGCCCCACTACCTCTTCCACTAACCCATCCACTAACCCATCGTCCCGCCCCACTAGCCTCCCCAGTCGCCCACCCCGCCCCACTAGCTCTTCCACTAACCCATCCACTACCCCGTCCCGCCCCACTAACCCTCCCACTCCCCCCCGCTCCCGCCCGCCCCGCCCCGCCACCCGTCGTCCCCGCTGATCATGAATATGCATACTTCTCATCCGCTGCTTACGGCTAATGGTGCAGTTTTAATCTGGGTTTCAACATGATGGATGTGTTGGTGATTCGTGGAGAGCCTCACCCACCCACCTGACTACACCAATGCCACCCACCCACCCATATGAACCACACTAAAAGCCACCCACCAATGCCACCCACCAACCCACCTAACCATACCACACAGCCCACCCACCTGACCACACCAACACCGCTCCCCAACGCCTTTAATAACAAAACATTTCTTAACTTCAATAAAAACAAGCGACTCACTCGTTAATATAACAGTCGACCATTAACCAAATATATTGAGACCATTAACCATATGTGTTACGAAGCTGCCTATGACTTTACCAGCGGAGTGTACTGTACTGATTGAAGAAAATGGTTCACCTGATTAATTACCCTCATGTTACCTGGGGGATTAGGTTACGTTGGGTTAAGTTAATCATAAGGCGAAATAATCTTGGGGGGGGGATAATGTTCACATGGCCCACAATAACAATAACAGCAATAACAACCACAATAATAATAAATGTTATAATCACTGGTGGTTTAGGTCACTATCAAGACAAATTACGTAGATTCGGTTGTAAAATGTCCACCAGGTAAGCTAATTAACAAACTACCTGTAATGTACCCTGCAGCTATTCTCTGACCCTGTATGTTGGCGACTCTCTTCATCCTTATCCACTAGAGCTTGAGTGATATGTTATACTTTAGCTTAGGGTCAGCCTCTAAACGCCCCTCTAACAATAAACCTGAAGTCTCATGGTCTGGTTATTACAAATTCCTACGTATTTATGCCAACCTTTCTCTTGCGTTTCTTAATATCATGTATCGTCCCGGACAGGAATTAGCATCGTGTGTAGTATCATGGCCCAAACATTGCGGTACTGTATACATTATGACGCAGTTCTCATAGTTTGGGTGCTCTCAGGCGCTGCTAATGGTTGAGGTCTAAATTAATGGGAGCAGTAATGTTCTTTATATATTTTGTAGCGTTCACCAACCTGGAAATTTATGTTTAGTGGCAGATAATATTCCTTCCGATCGAGAGAGAACTGGTAGTGTGGGTACTCTTAATGGCTGCCAGTTATTGCTTTTGATATTTAAATTTGCTTGGTTATTGGGTTTATTTTTCTGCTACAGCAAGTACAAGATGTTTACAAAGTCCCTTGATGGTTGAGTTAATAGACCCGAAGTAGCGTCTCATTCATAACGTCGGTATGTACTGTACTCAAAGTGTACTCATGTTCTGTACGTAACACACTAAGGACGTTCATCTTGTGTTCTTTAGAATCCCAGAAGACAGACAGAGTACACCCTGCTAGTCGACCTGTCCAGATATATATTAATTATATGTATACTAAATTTCATTGTGATCGGACAGTTGCCTCCTCTCCGCCCACAGTGAAAATAGCTGGGCATTAATTTAGTACAATAACTGTATAAATAACAACACGTGTGGTGAGTGGTAAGTGTGGTGAGTGATGATGACCAACATTAGTGTGGTGGATGAGGCGCGTCACCACACCGTAAAATTACCACCACTGACAGCCATGAGGCACAACAACCATAAACATCTACATTTATTTCATTATCACTAAATTTCGAATTCGAATGACTATTGGTGCGGGACACTTTGACGTCACCAGTATTTAGCCCCGGCGTATATCAAGTAAATATTAATGTGGGGCTGTGAACTGCGAGGACAAATGAGTACACTTTAGTACCCGTGTTGTGCGAGCCTCAACACTCACTCACCTAAGAACCGAATTATATGACCGTAATTCTGGTCATCTACTTTAATGAATACTCGTTACCTTTCATCACTGAACTATTACACCTCGTAAGCCATAACCTGTATATGTACAGTTATTGAAAGGATTACAATTATATCAATAACCCCGCACAGCCGCTATGACGAGGTGTGTGTGTGTGCGTCGCAAATTAGAGTTCTCGACTTATCGCCCGGAAGTAACTGGTTCCCAAAACCGCCACGAGGGGGGACACACCACCACACCACCAGAAACAATGGAGCTGAATATCGGACTTTTTTGGAATCCAGGTTTAGGTTTCATCTGCCCGACAGCCACAACTGACCGGTACCAGACACTTATACCAGGCAAGTTCATAGTACCGAGTGAGATGCTAAGACCTTACTCCCTCCCAGACCCTCAGCCACTCCTGAGAAGTGCCTCGTGATTACCACTAAGTACCTCCTGTGATAAAACCCTTTAGAAGCCCTGGCAGTGTGTGAGATGAATATGAAGCAGCGGGTTGATTACATTACCAAGAGCACCCTGACAAGTTAAAGCAGTTCCTGATCACCTGAAGATTAGGCACCCTACCTTATTTCACCTCCTGATTAAACACCCTAGCGTCGAGGGTTGGTTTAGTGTGTTAAACCATCAGGTGAAATAAGCCGGGGTGTCTAAACTTCTGGTGAACCACACATTCAGCAGAGCGGCCATCCTGGAACTCACCTGAATGAAATACTACTGTTACTTCTATTTCTAATTAATGTGATTCACCTGAGTAATGGGGAGGTGGCGTGGGTCTTACCTTGGGGTCGTTAAGGATGGGGTGGTCGGGTCTTACCTTGGGGTCGTTAAGGATGGGGTGGTCGGTGACGCCAGGGAAGAACACTTTCATCACGTAGCTGCGGTGGTCGAGGGTGGGGATGCCTGAAGACTCCAGATCAGCTGTCAGGTCTGTCATGTCCGTTTGTAGCTCCGCGAACGCTGTCAAGAGGGAGATACTGAGGTTAGTGTCTGTCTGTGTGAGGGAAAGAGAAAAGGAAAACAGAGAGAGAGAGAGAGAGAGAGAGAGAGAGAGAGAGAGAGAGAGAGAGAGAGAGAGAGAGAGAGAGAGAGAGAGAGAGAGAGAGAGAGAGAGAGAGAGAGAGAGAGAGAGAGAGAGAGAGAGAGAGAGAGAGAGAGAGAGAGAGAGAGAGAGAGAGAGAGAGAGAGAGAGAGAGAGAGAGAGAGAGAGAGAGAGAGAGAGAGAGAGATTTAACACACAAAAAACCCCTGTAAACTCCATAACAATATTACATCATTTGCGGTTATGGCTGCAACACGGGAGGCCAAAATTACCATACCAGCCATTACCCTCACACACAACGAGGATCTGTCACCAGCCACACGTCCATACTTCAATATATAAACAATATATCTAGTTGGATTACCTAGTTGATTGCAAACAGCGGCCATGGCCACTCTAAAGCAGAGGTGAACCTGGCCAGTGGAGCTTACCGGTAACTGTCCCACCAGTCTTCTCCAGTTAGCTGTTGACTGTCCCCCACTCCAGTTAGCTATCGACTGTACCTCCTCTTTCAGACGCTCATAAAGGTATTAAATGTCTTCTTCTTCACTCAGCCACTCACTGTTCTCCCTCACCCCTCAGCCACTGACCTGCCCTCACTCCCCAAGTCAGTGTCAATCCAGCTCTCATCCCTCACTCCCCTAGACAGTGATCAACCAGTACTTGACCACCCCACCAGGCAGTGACATGTGGGTCCCTTACACTCCTCCCTCCCCTAGACAACGACCACTTGACCACCAGCCAATGATCAGCTGAGTCAGGGAGATGACCTCAGGGACTTGGCCGGTTAATTGGCGACGCAAGACTGTTGACGGAGAAAACAAGGGTGGTGGCGGGAAGGTTCACTAACACAACACCCACAGTAGCAGTTCCTCCTCTGCTTGTTACTCTTGCTCCTCGTCTTCACCTGCCACGTTCACCTCACCACGTTACTATCAATACTAATATACAGGTGTATCATTCTTTCTTAGTTGACTCTTGAGAAGTGCCAGTCATGCATTACCAAAGAAGGTCAACCCCAGCAGAAGTGGTTGGTTACTAAGTGAATTATTTTTTAAGTATTTCTTTTTCTACAACTACGGCCCACTACTACACACACCTGAGGGGCCAAATATCCCTCCTCCTGGAGACTGATATGAAGACATCTCACCACAGTAACGTGTCATGGGTGGTGAATGAGTTAAGATAGGATTGGCCTCAAGTCATTGTGGGTGGAGGCTCGGACGTGTTGACAGAGGAAACACAGCCACCAATTAGCGGGAGGGTGGCGAGGGAAGGGGGTTACCCAGTAACACAAGAGACTGCATTCGCTCTTAATGATATAGTACCACAAGGCACCAAACGAAATGCTTAACAAACTGACTAGAGTAAAATGCTTCTTCATTACATTTTGCATCAGTGGTGAGTGGTATATATTCATAACTGCACCTGAGAGTTGAGAAACTAGACAAAGACTCACTGATGAAGTGCATAAAAATACTCACCCTGTTTACATTCAGTGCGGACGTGACTCTCGAGGCTATCCATCTGCAGCTGCATCAGCTTGTACACTCGCTCTGCCTGCGACGACTTACGACGGTAAACGGCCAGCACCACAAATGACGCTAGCACTAAGAACAGCGCGCCACCTGCTAATCCGGCGATGCCCTCTGGGGTGAGGGGGAAACGTCGGTGTCGCTCGTAGCGGAGCACACCCAGCGGAAAGCGGAGGTACTGCCCCACGTGCACCACTACAAGCGGCAGCCGCTCAGGGGTGGACACACCTTTCTCGTCTGTGGGATCTGGTTGAAGCTCGGGTGGTGTGCACACCAGCTGTGTCGCCGCCAGAGAAGTTACATTGCACACTGATCCACCGATGGTCACTCGAACGTCGCTCTCATCCGCCGCGTCATTGATATGCTCACCCTCAACCACCAGTGTGTCGCCTTTGTACAGCTTGACGCCGTGCGGGAAAGGATAGTAGCGAGGGTCCGTCATGTAGGTCAGGCGAGACCGCATATCTGGGAAATGTTTCCGGAGGTGAAGTACAGAGGCGACGTCATCCATCACAAAGCCAACGTCCACAGCCACCTCGTCTCCGTCATGGTCTCGTCTTCGTGGAGATCTTTGAGCCTTGTGCGATCTTCTGTTGCGACTTCGACGTCGACGGCGGACACTGTCATGGGCCTCTAAGATGGCTAGGACGGCGTCACGGTCCAAGGGTGGGGAAGGACACTCCATTTGATCTATGCTCAGGACACGGCAGGCGGAGGAATTGAGGACACGTTCAAAAAGATTGACAGTGATCCGCGGAGCCTGAATAGCGTCAAGGTGAGTCCCGTGAACTGTGACCAGACGGCCGCCACCCCACGGACTTCGAAGTGGCTTGAGTTCGAGGATTCTTGGGTCTGGCGTGTACGTGAAGGGCGAGGCGAGAGTGCGATGAGCACCATCTACAGTTACCGTAAGAGTCCGCACGACCCTGGGTACGCTTTCACCCTCTTTGCTACCGTCTTCTGACGCAGACGCCCGTGAGGTCACGCACACAAGCCGGTGGGAAGATGACTGAGTCTTGTTGACGACACAAGGAAGGTCGTCGAGCTTAGCAGACACGTGGGAGCCCACGTTGAGGAAGCGGCCGCTGATGGAGAGCACAGTACCTCCCGACACTGGTCCGTGAGTCGGCCACACCCCCGTCACGGTCACGTTCTGGGGAGATGAGAAGAACTTTTGTTATTATCCACAATGTATTGCTGAATGTATATATATTATGAATACTGATCACGTTTACTAACAACAAAGCTTCTGTATTAATGAACATGACACTCAAACATTCCCTGTGTTCAGGTGATGTTATTCAATCAGAGTAAAACTGCTGTGCCCTTTTGAGTATTTGTAAAAAGAGAGACTCACCGTGTAAGTGAATTTGACGGTGGATTTCGTGGTGCCGGCGGGCGTGGAGACCCGGACAGGGAACTGCAAATCTGCTGACCCGGGCTCTCCGTGACGCATGGGCGCCGGGCTCGTGCGGCACGTAATCCTTACAGACACGCGATAGTCGTGCACGTGGCATGGCACATCACCGATGAACACGTTCTCCTGCACATCCTCCTCCCGCAGCCCCAGATTGCTGCCCTCTATGGTGACCAGTGTGCCGCCCTCCAGGGGGCCTGCCAGAGGCTGGATCTGGAATTGGAAAAGAAAAAGATGTTAATATTCTCGCTAAAACGACCACCATTACATAATGAGGAAAACTTATAAACGCACAGACCCTCAACTCCCTCTGTGCACACCTTCACACGTCCATTGAATGCAAAGCACATCTCACTGGAACACACCTTGACAATGTGGCAGCAACAGGTACACAGGCCTAACATTTTACAAGTTATCTGTTGTTGAAACAGGAACAAACATTGTGCGGTGTGATGTTGAACCAAGACCCTTCCTTAGTAGAAGATAACTGTCGGCGGTAGAGGGGAAGTGTGTGTGAGTACAATGGGCTGAGGTGAGAGTGAGGAGGATAATGAGAAGAGTACCGAGGGGAGGGAGTGAGGTAGGGTAACATTCCTGCTCGCCTCAGCGTGATGGCGTCACGTCCCTGGCCGTATCACACACTACCACCACCTTCATAACCACCACTAACTACTTGGGTTAATGTCTCCCCCCCCCCCGCAACACTCACCTTAGCCTCCACCCCATCTACTCAATCTTCTTTCCCTTCCATCGTTTCCCTATTTAATCCTTCGTTTCACCCTTTTGCACAACTCCCTACCCTCCCCTCCACCAACGTGCACTCCTCCCTATCTTCCCCCCCCACCAGCGTGCACTCCTCCCTATCCTCCTTCCATCAGCGTGCACTCCTATCCTCTCCCCACCAGCGTGCACTCCTCCCTACCCTCCCTCCCCCACGTGCACTCCTCCCTATCCTCTCCCCACCAGCGTGCACTCCTCCCTCCCTCCATCAGCGTGCACCCCTATCCTCCCCTCCACCAGCGTGCACTCCTCCCTATCCTCCTCTCCACCAGCGTGCACTCCCTCCCTACCCCTCCATCAGCGTGCACTCCTCCCTATTCTCCCCACCAGCGTGCACTCCTCCCTATCCTCCTCCACCAGTGCACTCCTCCCTACCCTCCCCTCCATCAGCGTGCACTCCTCCCTATCCTCTCCCCACCAGCGTGCACTCCTCCCTATCCTCCCTTTCCATCAGCGTGCACTCCTCCCTATCCTCTCCCCACCAGCGTGCACTCCTCCCTATCCTCCCCTCCACCAGCGTGCACTCCTCCCTACCCTCCCCTCCATCAGCGTGCACTCCTCCCTATCCTCTCCCCACCAGCGAGCACTTCTCCCTATCCTCCTTTCCATCAGCGTGCACTCCTCCCTATCCTCCCTTCCACCAGCGTGCACTCCTCCCTACCCTCCCCTCCATCAGCGTGCACGCCTCCCTATCCCTCCCCTCCACCAGCGTGCACTCCTCCCTATCCTCCCTTCCACCAGCGTGTGCCTCCCTATCCTCCCTCCACCAGCGTGCACTCCTCCTGTCCTCCCCCATCAGCGTGCACTCCTCCCTATCCTCCCGAGTGCACCCTCCCTCCACCAGCGTGCTCCTCCCTTCCACCAGCGTGCACTCCTCCCTATCCTCCCTTCCACCAGCGTGCACTCCTCCCTATCCTCCCCCCAGCGTGCACACCTCCCTACCTCCCTCCACCAGCGTGCACTCCTCCCTATCCTCCTGAGTGCACCCTCCCTACCCTCCCTCCGTGCACACCCAGCCATCACCACGTCCACCAGGAATCATCTCTCAACACTTCACACTTCTCGACAGATTGATAAAGTGGACGCCCTAATTCAACCTGCTTACTTCCTCCTCTCCCCCTGTTTCTCCTCCTCCCCCTCCCCCCAGCACACACTTGACAACACAACATTTTACTAAGATTTATTCTTCTATTTAAACGTTTCTCCTTTATTCTCAAATTTTCTCTTGTTTCTATCCCTATATTCTCTACTGCTCAATTCATCGTATCTGATTTTCGTCCTTTTCTCTCATTTATTCTCTCTATTCTGTATTTCTTTCACTACTCTCCACTTCTTTCTTCGCTGTTATCGACTCTCCACTTTTTCCACCATTTATCTTCCTCTTCACGTCTTATTTTCCTTCCCCACCCCCACCCTCCGGTCGGGTCAGTGCGTGGGTCCATCACATTCCTTTGGCAGTTGGCATAAGAGCAGTAGATTGCCCTCACCCTACGTCACCGCCTGTGTTTCTGCCACCTGCCCTCTGATTGGCGGACTAAAAACACGGCGAGCCAATCAACTTCACAAACCCCGCCATGCATCATCGTGCGTATTCCTGACACGGGCCTCATCATTGGTTGCACACAAAACAAATGGACCAATCACGAGGGGGGGAGGGATTCCATACGTCATCATCGGTATTCTTGTCACCTGGCTTCGTTCCCGCGCCTGACGTCTGGAATTATGGCGGGTAAGAACTGGAATGGGCCCGGGAATTGGGGTTTTGGGGGGAACAATGACAGTACATTGAGAGCAGAGATGAGGTGATGATGGGGGCCATGATGCAGAAGGGGGGGGGGGCAAAACAGGGATACACAACACCACCGTAACGAGGCAATCAGGGGTAATAACGACCAGGTGTTATATCTACCATAAGACGACTAGGTGTGATAACGACCATAACAGGATGACTGGTCAAGTGGGTCCGAATCCTAAGAATTGGGACTCACGAGGGATCTATGGAGACTAGTGCCCCATTAAGACTGATATTCAATAAGACTGGGGCCCAAATAAACGGGGCCCCATTCAGACTGGGGCCCAATAAGCCCGGGGCCCATTAAGCCCGGGATTCATTAATTACTGGGGGCTCATCTGACCAGCCACTGAAGACCCGATGGACAGGAAAGTAATCCGGGCGAGTCAATACAACGACGCCAAAAGCAATACCAACAATTTGGCGGCGACAGCGGGTACGTTTTTGATGGAGGGTTAATGTAGCGACCACCCACCACCTGCAACACGCCCAGGGGAGGGGGAGGGAGAGAAACGGGAGGAGGGAAGGGGAGAGGAGTTGAGGGAAGGGGAGAGGAGTTGAAGGACGAAGAGTAGGAGGGGGGGACGAGGGAGGAAGGGGGAAGAGGAGGAAGGGGGACGAGGAGGAAAGGGAGAGGAGGAGGAAAGAGAGCCAAGGAAACTGGTGGGGAATTAAGATCAAAGGAACAAAATGAGTAATATACAAGGGTAAGGTGAGATAATAAACAGGAGAACAGTTAAATATGGAATAAATAAAAAATAACACGAGGAAGGAAGAGAAGGAAGGAAGGAAAAGGAAGACGTGTCAAGGGAAATGGAACATCACTCGACGCCGCTGTGAACAAACTATAATTATTGGGAGCTAAATAGGCACAAGTCCTGGGCAACTCTCTATCTTGCCTGTGAAAATAAACAAATTCATAAATAGTGGAGGTGGGCAGGAGGGGAGGTGGGCAGGAGGGGTGGTGGGCAGGAGGGGGAGGTGGGCAAGGGGGGTGGGGGTAGGGGAGGTGGGGTAGGGAGGGGAGGTGGGCAGGGAGGGGGTAGGAGGGGAGGTGGGCAAGGAGGGGGAGGTGGGCAGGAGGGGAGGTGGGCAAGGAGGGGGTGGGCAGGGAGGGGGTGGTGGCAGCAGGAGGGGTGGTGGGCAGGGAGGGGTGGTGGGCAGGAGGGGGTGGTGGGCAGGAGGGGTGGTGGGAAGGAAGGGGTGGTGGTAGGAGGGAGGTGTGCAGGAGGGGGAGAGGCAAAGAGGTTGTGCATCAAAACGATAACGATTATAATACTAGACAACACGATGATGACAACTGAGGAGGAAGGGTTTCTGGGATGGTGGTGGTACTGTGGGTGGTGGGGGTGTGGGTGGTGGGGGTGTGGGGTGTGTGGGTGGTGGGGTGGGTGGTGGGTGTGGGTGGTGGGGGTGTGGGTGGTGGGGGTGGTGGGGGTGTGGGTGGTGGGGGTGTGGGTGGTGGGGGTGTGGGTGGTGGTGGTGTGGGGGTAGTAGGGGTGGGTGGGGGTGGTGATAACATGGCCACGCATAAATTCGTTATCTGGGCAACACAATGAGGCCTCAGCACTAACGGACACCGCCGGGGACTACTTTTTTTACCCCTCTCCTAAATCAGCTCACACATGCTTCTTCCCACAAAGTTCCCCCTCATATACGCAGTTTTCTCCCGACATCTGCGCCCTAACTCATTTGTGAGGTGTCGGCTACCGGGCGACGGGGAATAATTGTGGCTGGAGCGAGGGTTGGCCAGGCCTGCCATTGGACCCCCACACTGCGCGCACACACAATGACTGCCAATCCTTTTCAGTATGAGTTTAACACCAGCCCTTCTTTTCATACGGGACACTATGAACCTGTCATAAAACTAAAGTGAGATGAGCCTACACCACTGACATGAAAGTTACTCTTTTTAAGTGAACATAAGTATTCATAACCCCCTTCCTGTCCCTCCCCACTGTGGTGTCCCCCTGGAGGAGAGAGAGCCAGGTGGTGATCCCATACATTACTATATCACTACCACGCCCCGCTGGCTCACCGGCCAGGGAACACCGCTATTACCCCTGGCTACCGTACACCGCCCCAACATGAGCACATAATTACACTGTTTGCTGAACAAATCACCTCTGTTCGGTACCTGTTGACTCGGCCATGGACAGAAGCCGAGTTTGTAATTTGTGTGTACGGGTGTACAAGGTACACTTAGCGCGTGGAAATGATACCCACCAAGGAGGAGGAGGAAGCAGATGGCGAGGATTTCAGAGTTGTGACTGGTGTCCTTCACTCCCTCAAAGACAACCCTGAGAACTTATCTACCAGCCACCACTTCCCTCGAGCGCCTGTATACACCCGTGTCCCTCTACTACTTCACTCCACGCTCTCATCCACGCCGTCCTTATGGCTAAATGTCAATCTCTTCACCGTAACACCCTCATACTGCTCCTCTTCACATTCCCCAATATACTCCTCCTCAAATCCCACTAATCCCGCGTATATACGTCGGTCTATACTTGTAAATATACCACACCCAACTCTCCCCAATTCCTTATCTTTACACACCCTTTACTCTAACACCACCGTTCTCTCACACTCCCACAGCTAATCCACACACCCTAACCCCATAGCTAACCCCCACACCCTT